ACAGACAGACAGACAGACAGACAGATAGATCTGAAGCTCTCAACCTGGACCTCTCTAAGTGACATTAAAACTCTTGTTAAGTTCCTGCAGACATGTTCCTGTTTTTAGTTTTATAGTTTTCTAAATCGCCGTATAATCTAGCTGTTTTTTTGCTACTATTCCTCTTGATTGTCCTTTTAGTTGCTATTTTGTTTTGACTTGTAAAAAAAAAAAGAAGAGAAACTTAAATGTGTATGCCTATTTTATGATTGTCCGCTGTTGTCATCACTCTTTGTTAAACCAGGTCTCTCTGTAAATGAGTCCTCGAGGCTCAATGGGACTAACCTGTAGAAATAAAGGTTGAATGGAAATATATCATGTGCATTTTAGCTTATATTACCACCTTGAAATACTTATTCATTCAAATTCATCCTGCTTGCACCATTATATTCTACCATGTTATTGTTTACCATCTCATTAGGACATTGTAAATATTGTAATTACTTTTACACTTTTTGGTACTTTATTTTTGTACCCTTATTGCATGCTTTTAGTACTTCTTGTTTGTTTGTCGGTTCTTCTCATCCTGAGCATTTTATTGTACTGTTAACTTTGTGTTAACCTGCATATGACAAATAAACAACTTGAACTTGAACTACAGCTTTTACTTTGAAAGACAACAGTGTTTCCGGTTGCATTCTGGGTAATGTAGTGCCGTGTGGGCAGAACTCGAGCAGGACCAGCTGGAAGTCATTTGTTTGCTTTTATTAAATTATCTGTGTCTGTAGAAGAAAATAAACTTGAGAAGTTAAATAAAAACTAAAAGTCTTTTGTTTTTAAGTCAGCGTCTGTAAATACCAACTTTACTTTGGCGTGTGGCCTAATTAGCTACATGTTTAGACTCGGCAGCTGCGGTAGGCGAGGGTCTCTTGGATGAAGCTGGTTCGCTGGACACAACTCGGTATCATTAGCAGCAGCAGCTCGGAGTCTGACTCGGGAGGACTTAGCTGACACGATTAGCTTTCTGCTAACATGTTAGAGAGAAACCTGAGTGCGTTTTACCTGACGTTTGACGACAGCTCTGAAAATATCCTGAAATCTTCTGTTAGCGACCGTCAAAGATCAAAGTAAATAGAAAGACGTCTCACTCCGACCATTGTATAAAACCTGCTAAAAACAAAACAACGGACGTTATGCTTTGAGCCGCAGTAAGACAGAGAGCTCAAGCTTCATTCACATAGACGATCTTTGTATGAATTACGGTGCTTTGTGAGGGTCAAAATAAACCCTTCATAAACTCAAACGATAAACCAAAAATAATCGCAATTCTGAGATGTATTGATATTTATTATGCTTCTAATGTCATATGTATGATTAATTAATAACATTTTACATCTTTGTCCGTCAGTCAGGTATAAAGTCTCACTTTTAACAGTTTTATTGTTGATTTTTCTACCTGGATTATTGAGCATGCATCAGGATAACCTAACAAAACGTTTTATTTAGGCGGAATATAGTTGCTATAAATTTTATTGGCCCTAACCCTGGAGGTCTGGGTTTATTTAGAACCGGACCAGAACTTAAAATATAAATAAATAATCAGTTCTGTGTCAGGATCCTGGACCAGAACCTCAGGTAAAGTTCGTGCCTGGCTTTTTAAATATTTAAGCCCCGCCCCTCCGCACCGTCTCACCGCGTTCCCATCTTGACGTGTGCGCGTGTCCGCCACTAGCCCTCGTTATGTCGTCGAACCGGGACGGTCCTCTATACCTGGGCCTGGATTTCAGCACCCAGCAGGTAAGTCCAGAACCTCACCTGGCGGAACCGCCCCTTACGTCATGTGGCATGACGTCACGTCGAGGCGTGAGGACTCGAGCTCATTGCGCAGGCGCAGATCGAGCAGGCAGCGGAGTGTACAGCTGTTTGTTCGTTTGTTTGTGTTTTGAGGTGTACATCCGGGCTCTGCAGGACCGGAAGTGGGCGAATGGACTTTGTTCTGCGAGAGCGGTCAGGATCAGTCAGTTTAGTGATTGACAGCTGCAGATGAGCACGTGACTGATCATTTATTAGAACCTCTACAGTTTTCAAAGTTCTGTAAGTTCTGGTTCTGTTCTTCACTAAACGGAAGTGTACAGGAAACTGTCAACCTGACGTCATCAGTTCTTAATTTTTTTTCATTCATTCAACCTTTATTTAGACCGTAAATCCCATTGAGCCTCAAGGACTCATTTACAAGAGAGACCTGATTTCAACAAAGAAAGATGAAACAATGGACAACAGCAACAACAATAAACAGTTATAAAAAGTCATACTCCAGTTTTTTTTTTTTTTACAAATAGGATGGCTAAAAAAAAAAGGAAAAAAAAAAAAAAAAACAGCTAGATTCTAAGGCGAATGTAAAAAACTAAAAACAGGAACATGTCAGTATCGGTCCCTGCCAGGAGTCCAACAGATTCTTAAAGCCACTTAAAGAGGTCAAAGGTCGAGAGCTTCAGATCTTTTTACAAGATATTCCAGGAAACAAGAGCGGAGTAGGAGAAGGTCTTTTTGTCTAGTTCAGTCCTCACTGAGGGAACACTGCAGGTAATGATGTCCTGAGAGCGCACGCTGTAGCTGCACTCACACAGAGACATGTAGGAGGAGATGTATGAAGGCAGCAGACCAGGAAGTGATTTAAAATCAGTTTATAGAAGTTACTGAGGATCCTGTCTGCAAGGATCTTAACCTTCACTTTGCAGAAGACATAATCAAAGAGGAGCACGAGGCAAGAGAAGAAGGTCTTAAGACCAGTCATGGGTCTAAGACCAGTCAGGGGATCTGAAGACCAGGCTGGGGTCTTAAGACCAGTCATGGGTCTAAGGCCCTATTTACACGGACACAATGGGGGGAAATGTAGGTTTTTTCGTATGTTAATTAGAGGAAAAGATTTGCGTTGACACTGTCGGATTTTGTGTTTACATGCATCCGGAGGATTCCCCCCCGTCCTCTCGAATCCGCTGTAGTTACCATGCCGGGTCATTAGATGGCGCTGTGAATTTTGTACCTTCACCTAATGCGCATGCGTGCTGCCTCGGCACGCTGTTTTCCTCTGGGCTAATCAGCTAACAACAACGTAACGTAACAACAAGTTAAAGCTGGATTTTGGATAAGAGTCGACAGATTTGATGCCAATTGGGACCGCTTCGTCTAACAGCTCCACACCGGTCGCTGAGTGGACCAGAACAGAGTCGACGATGTCGGACTTTACTCCGTGATAATCAGTAGCTGATTTACAGCAGGTAAATCAAATGTTCTTAATAATGTTAGTTTGCGTTTACTTCGGTTACAAAACAACCAACTGAATTTTTATTTTTCCTGAAAGAAGAAGAAGCAGCTGTCTCCCACCAGGCGAATTGGTTCTGAACGAGGCTCGGCCCAGATGAACTGCAGGAGGACGTTGAAGAGAGAGATGTTGGATGAGCAATTTATTTAAAATTCCCCTCAGTTCTTTTATTCAATCCATTTATTGTTTTAAGCTGCATTTATCAAAGGAGTGACTTCCTGAACGAGCCAGATGAACAACGTGGGACATCCAGG